AGGAGGAGGAGGGAGGCTAGAAGGAAAGTAGGGGCTAATGGGCGAGGGTAGGCCACTAAAAGAATGAAATGGTGGGAAACCAGGTCTAGATTGGAAGTCAAATGAGATAGGTTGACGTACCTGAGAGCAATTGGCCTTAAGTGGTGGGAAGCCTGAACTAGGTTGAGGCATATATGATTTAGGGCAATTCATGTATGAATTAGTTGCTGGATATATAGTAGGGCTTTGATAAGTAACCGGTACGCAGGACAGAGAATTATTCGAGAATATAATTGGAGCTGCGTGATTTGTAGACGTGCTGGACTGAATAGACTTGTTAGATCTAAGAGAAGGCGTCGTACCTCCAAATGGAACTGTACTACCTTTCTTTTGGGTCGGAGTCTGATTCAATTTTCGAGTCTCACCGTTCTGACGCCAAGCCACTGGTGACTTAGCTGTAGACCTTACAGCACCCAGTTGGACAATAGAAGTTATCGGTCTAGCTGATGTAGACGGATTTTCATGTGTCTCAGCGGGACTATCCGGAGGATACGAAACGGCAAATGGGGTTGCTGCTGCTGCTGCTGCAAGTTTAGGGGCAGGCAAATGCGTCAAGTGGTTCGAGTGAGATGGAGATGTCGGAGAAAGAGGAAGGAAGGAGTCAGATGTCGCAAAGCCAGATCCTAGTCCAGACAAATATGGCCAGCCTCCTGGAAAACAGAAGCGAACTGTACGACCGCCCTTAGCAGCTGGACAAATAGACTGACAACCGGCAATTAGCAGCGACTCAAATTTATCCAACTCGAAAATAATTTCATGGTCAGGACGATATCAATGTTCTTCAATTTCCACGAAGATCACACTACTCATGTTCTAAAAACTACCAAACTGCACACTTCAGTTTTTGTATTGTACATAACGTTCTTTCGTATAAATTGAAAAACAGGCATCCCAAGAAATATAATAAGAAAGGTGAAGTTCTTTGGGAAACGGCAAAATTTTATTGTGAATTTTCGAGACTGGTTCCCCAGCTCGTCTTCAGACAACGGGCGTGCAGAAACAATTAACTTCAAGACTGAGTCTGGCAAAAGGATTCCAGGATTGGTTAAGGTCGTCATCTCGGGATTGGTTGACTCAGTTCGAATCTGTCCTTAACGATTTTGTATGTGGCATCTAAATCGATATGCCGGTTGATGCATGCCTCATCTGAGTGCATTGCCTCCAGGAATTCGCGGCCTTTCCTTGTTTGGCAGGCGCCAACGATGCGAGTGTTTT